TGGGAGGGGCTGCATGGCTGGGACACAGAGGCAGGGAAAGTCTCTGCGGGAAAGGGGTCATGGGTCCCTGTGCGTGGGACGGCAGGTCTGGCGTGGGTTTGGCAGCAGCTGCCTGCTGGTGCTGAGCCCGCAGAGCAGAGCAGAGATGTTTGCAGAAGGCAGCCTGGCAGAGTGGCGTGCGAAAGGAGGCACTGGTGCTCCGCAGGGCCTGATCCTGAACCAAGCACCCCTCTACGTGAGCCTGCTCCAATTGGGGCTCTTGGGGAGCCTGCACCTGAGATGCAAATGCTTATGAGAAGCGAAAGGCTCAGCAATAAGCAGCCCAGTTGTTTTTTTCCTTCTTTTGATCTCCCCATGCTAACCCTCCACACGCAGGGAGCCGCAGGCATCCACCAGGCAGAGCCGATGCCAGCTCCCAGTGGTGGGGTGAGCAGCTCAATAACGTGGTTGCAAGTGAGCATCTCCCCAGGGCAGTGGGCGAGAAGGATGGGTCATCTCCTGGGGGCTCAGCTGGCCCGGCTTTTCCATGAAGAACTCAATGTGGCACACGGGGTGCAGAGGGGTGTCCCCGTTATGTGCATTCAGGATGGGGGATGCCCTAAGTGCAGCTCCCCACTTCTTGTCTTTCTTGCAGATGTGAATTTCTCTCCCTTTCCTTGTGCAGCACCGCTGAGGTTTCTATTTTCCTCCGGACTCCATCTAGCGGGAAAGCCCCAAGTCCCCTGCAAGCATCACAACTGCAGAGTTTTGCAGGGAAATGCATTGATTCTGGAAAAGCAGAAACCCGGCCGGCCGTGTCCTGCAGCGGGTAAGGAGCGAGGGCTTCGAGGGTGTGGTGGGGGGTGATGGGCTGCGCTCCCACCGCCCCGTGCGAATCCCGCATGCCCTGGCCCGGCTGTTTGGGAAAGGCTGGGAACCACTGAACAGCCCTTGGGTGAGCAGCTGAGCTCAGAAATGAAGGGACTGTTTCCACCCCATCTCACACACTGATTTTCCAGGAGGGACAAAATTTCCCCTTTTTGCCATTTAAACAGCATCTTGCTGTGGCATAGGTGAAGATAAAAAGCAAGCAGTAAAATATTTGGGTTCAAAAAGAACCGTGGGCAAGTGCCAAGGATGCTCTGCAGTAGCAGTAGCGGTGGCTGAAGAGGGTCCAGGCGGTAAGGAGGCATTTCCAGAACAGCTGGAATGAAAAGCGTCAGCAGTCAGGTAATGCCCGGCTGTCACACAGCGATGGAAAATCCAGAAACAGGCGTGACAGCCCCCAATGCTTAACCTGCCCTCTGCCATCAGCAAAACAGGGGAGCAATTAACTCACGATTTAGAGATTAAACATATAAATAGCGCCCATAAATATTGTTCCCTGGGAAGCTGCCTTGCAAGCCTGTCCTTTTGGCTTCAGATGGAACTATGAGTCTGACCTATTGGGTGTACAAAAATTTGTAAGTTGTTGGGTTTAGAGTTATACTATGATTAAAAAAAATAATCCTTGGTGTTATCTGGAGTCAACAGGGCATGTATGAGCTGGCTTCAGGTAGGTGTCCCTGGCAGACCAGCCTTGGGGACGGCTGTGACCCAGCAGGCGAGAGAAGCTCTGAAATTGTGTGGAAGGCTCTCACTGATGGGACCTTGGGAAGGACCTGCTGAAAACACAGCTAAGATCCTCTTTAATCCCCCTCCCACCTGTATAGCTCTCTTCTGTGGTACTTCCAAAGACTTTCTCGAAATTCCCAGCCAGCCTGTCCCCAGAGGTTTGCAGCAATTAGCTCCTGCTATCAAAGAGAGCCTTCTCAGTGCGAATGGAAGAGCAGATGGGGTGTGTGGAGGGTCTTGCTTGCAAACCCCTTCATTAAAAAGGCATGAGTCCCTGCCGCGGCCTTTTGGCTTGCCTGGGGAGAGAGGCACCCACAGCGAGGTTCCCCCCTCTCGCATGCATATGGAAAAAGGCCACAGCTAAATGCCACTGCATTTGCATAGCACTGTTTTTTTTCCAAATTGTCAGCATTTCAGTGAGGAAGCAGCTAAGATGGCTTGACTTTTAATTTTGAGCATGAGAGTAGGGGTCCTCACCAGGCTACGGATGTGGGGGCTATCTTATCTACCTGACTTTGCTTGTGCATGCACGACCTTGGGGTTTTTAGCCCCCAAACCATGAAAAGAGGAGGTCCTGCCGCCTCATTCCACATGAGGAACCCCAAAACAATCTGTCCAACACCCTGGTCTGGGTGTTTTGATGACTGTAGAGATGGGCCAAATCTTTTTCTCCCAGTGTGAAGCTCTTCAGCATTGGTGTCCTCCCTCTGCAGGCAAGGAGGGTGCTGAGAGGGCAGGGGCCGTAGGTTGTGGGGCTCCGACCCACCGCGAGGCGAGAGGGAAGTGATGCCTGAGTCTCTGCTCACTGTGGTTAGCAGGGAGCTGCTGTGGCTCAGGGACATCTGTCACCTCGCTGGGGGGAGGACACCTGCAGAACTGCCCCAGGATGAGCTGAATGAGGCTTGGGACTTTTGAGATTTGTGGCTACAGCCCGCGGAGCACTGCGTTCTGCTCCCCGCCATGCTGGGTTGTCCTGTGCAATCCTCTACTCTTCCATTTTCCAAGCACTTAAATGGAGGGGAGGCTGTTTTACCTCCGCTAAAGGGTCACCTTAAACCCAAAATGCAGTCTCAGCCACCGCGAGCCGTACAGGATGCTCGCAGGACTGTTCATCTCTGGCTCTCTGGGATGCTAAACTGTGTTCTGTGCTGTACATTGCTCGTCGCGGACGGAAAGCGGAGCGATGATGGCTGGGCTGTGGGGCGGTTGTTGCCCCGGCTGGGATTGCAGCGCAGCAGCCGAGGCCTCGGAAGCAGCCCGGCTCTCGGGGCAGCGGGGCGTAAGCACACAGCTTAAATGACAGGTCTGCTCCTGGGTCGGGGGCCGGCAGCCCTTTGTGCACCCACGCAGTAAGGTCGAGCTGAGCGCCTGGGGAGGCTTTGAACGTCCTCAGTGGGAGCTCCAAAGCCCCGGCCCCACTCACGCCAAGGCTCGGCATGGGGTTTGTCTAATTTGACGAAGCTGGAGGTGCCCTGGGTGGCTGAGCAAATGGCGGAGGTGAGAGAGTGGAGCGCGGCTCATCCGGATTTAATATTTAATGTTTAAGTTCGCC